GTATCGCGTAAATAAATATAACTACTAAAAACTTTAATCTCTAATTTTCAAAATAACATCAACCTGCTTTGCTTCTTCATAAAATTAAACAACTTCTGAATCATACATTATTTTCTACATATGATACACTCACAAGATTTCAAAAGTTCTGATATTGGCAAATTCATTTTTTAGAAAAATTTTCAAAATGGATATGTATTATATGTATATATGTTTTCATAACATATATCTATCGAACCGAACAAATTTTAGTAATGACAATTAAATGAAGTTATGAAACACCAAAACAGTGATTGCTTTACTACCTTCATATTATTTCAAACTATAGCTTTATTATAAACGGTTATACTCACATATATATTTACATCCATAGATGCAGATGGATTATTGGCACGTTCTTTTTCTCTTCGAATTTCTGTTTCAATACTTTGTCTTATAGCGAGTTTACACGCACGTTGACAAATTTCCGTTATGTCAGCTCCCGAGAAACCATGTGTTACTTTAGCTATATAGCTTAATTCAACGTCCTGTAATATGATTATTAATGGTAAGACTATTCCTTGAAAGCAGTGGGAATAATTAAGCATATACAGTATAATGTATTTTAAAGTATTTGTTTTTGTTATTTATTTAGGAAATTATTTAAATATATTTCAAAAAGTATTATATATCTATTATTGAAAGAAAAATGTCACGTTATATGTAAATAGAAATATTAAACATGATAGACAGAAAAATTATATTGTTTCTTTTGTGGCTCATGTGTCATGATTTTATCGAAAAATATTGGAATTAGAATACGATTAAATTTGAATTTCCTTTTGTCACATTTACTCATACGTCAATAACTAAACTTGCTAACTATGGTCAATAAGTTTAAAGGTCTCCTGTTGGCCCTAATATTAATTAACCCTTTACACTCGAAGCTGTTTTAACTTCAGAACTAACATATTTCTTCCAGCGTATAGCATTTAGATATTTTATTTGTTTTGTATTGCATGCATATGAAATTTAGCTTATTTCCTCGTACATGCTTGCATTTTTTAACAACTCTTCAAATAAATAGTAATCGTTTTAATAATTTAAGAACTGCTTGAAAAAATTAAGTAGCAATTTTCAGTGGCGCCTCGGAATCGCCATTCGAGTGTAAAGGATTAATATTTTCGCTATTCTAACCGGCGACGCACGCTGGTGGCAACATAACTCGATTCTCAAAATGAACAACAATCATAATATTGCCATACATAGTCCACTATTCGTCCATAAGTGGTTATCTTTTTTTAGATTTGTATTATCTATACAGACATAGAACGTATTCGTTCCGCACAGTTCAGACAAATACTATATCAAATATATACATATATATTATCCGGAATGTTTTGGGTTGCACAAAATGTTATTCACTGACACGATACGGTACATATGAACAGCTACAGTTGTTCACAAAAGTCTTTGAATACTAAATTTCTAAACTACCATAATTTTGTAAAAAGAGAATTGTAAAATGATCTGAACTTATTTTGAAACTTAAAGCCTCTACTTTTGCAATGCACTGTTTATTTTCTTATAAAATCTTAGTGCATGATACAGTGAGTAGAAAAACTGAAATATACATGTTTGTTGATGTAAACTTCATGAATGTTCACCGAAATAGTGAAAGCGCTCACGTTGGGAAACTACAATTTCAATAAACTTTTCGCTTTATAAAAGAAATTGATAATCATTCATGAATTCATATCCCTTACCATGGCTACTGGTGATTTTCGAAGATTAGCTCTAAAAATTGCTTCACGTGATTTTTCATCTGGCAATGGTATATAAATCAACTGGTCTAATCTACCAGGTCGTAAAATAGCGGGATCAATAATGTCAGGTCGATTAGTAGCTCCTATGATGAATACATTTTTTTTCGCTCCCATTCCATCCATCTCAGTTAAGATTTGATTTATCACACGATCTGCTGCTCCTCCAGCATCTCCTACTGTGCCACCTCGAGATTTTGCGATAGAATCAAGTTCATCAAAGAATAATACGCAAGGAGCTGCTGATCTCGCCTAGAAAATTTAATATAATGTCAAATTCTTGTGACTTATATTATATATGTAAATAACTTACTTTATCAAAAACATCTCTGACGTTAGCTTCAGATTCACCGAACCACATTGTTAACAATTCTGGTCCCTTTACAGAAATAAAATTCGCTTGACATTCATTGGCTATGGCTTTAGCCAATAATGTTTTACCACAACCTGGTGGTCCATAAAATAACACACCTCGTGATGGTTGCATGCCAAACTTCAGGAACTTTTCAGGATGTACAACTGGATACTATATAATATAAAATTAAATTATTAATTGTCTATTATTGATTTTAATATATGAATATTGAGTGATTTTCAGTAGATTCCTTACCTGTACCAATTCCTGCAATTCCAATTTAACATTTTGTAAACCACCAATATCGTCCCAAGTAACAGTTGGTACCTCTACAATGGTTTCTCGCAAAGCACTTGGGCTGCTCTTGGTCATTGCATACTAAATTAAAAATATAACAGACGTTACTTATTATTTGTGAAGATTATATGTCTACCTATTAACATTCAAATAGTACTTACCTTGAAATTATCCATTGTAACAGCAAGAGAAGATAAAACTTCAGCATCTATGTGATCATCTTCTAAATCAATCAGGTCCATTTTCTCACGAATTTGTTGTAATGCTGCTTCAGAACATAATGAAGCTAAATCAGCTCCAACATGACCATGGGTTTCTGATGCAATCTAAAAGAAAATATTAATTCATTAAATATATCTAAAAAGAGAATGGTATAATAATTTCAGAAAGTCTGTAAACCTCCTCTAATTCGACGTCATCAGCAAGCTTCATATTTTTAGTGTGAATTCTTAAAATTTCCAAGCGGCCAGTAGCATCAGGAATTCCAATATCAATTTCTTTATCAAAACGCCCGAAACGACGCAATGCTGCATCAATGCTATTTGGACGATTAGTAGCAGCCATTACAATGACATGAGAACTTTGCTTCATACCATCCATTAAAGTGAGCAGTTGTGAGACTATACGTCTTTCTACCTCTCCGTGTGTCTAAAAGTATATACATATAATGAAATGTATATGTTTAATTACAAATTTTATAAAATTTGATCAAATATCACACCTTCTCTCTTTTTGGAGCAATAGCATCAAGTTCATCAATAAAAATTATAGCTGGGGAATTTTTCTCAGCTTCTTCAAATGCTTTTCTTAAGTTACTTTCAGATTCCCCAGCAAGTTTACTCATTATTTCAGGACCTTTTGATATAATATAACATAATAAATAAACTTCCAAATCAAAATATTATTTTCAAGATTAACATACCATTGATAAGGAAAAAGAATGCGCCCGTTTCATTTGCCACAGCACGAGCAATAAGAGTTTTTCCTGTACCAGGAGGCCCATATAAGAGAATACCGCGCGGTGGTTTCACACCAATAGCCTTGAATAAAGATGGATGTCGCAAGGGTAACTCTACCATTTCCTTAATTTGAGCTAACTGCTTGCGAACACCACCAATATCATCATAACCCACTGCATTTAACGCCTCCTCTTCTTCCTATATAGTACAAGACATCATATTATTATGAAAATCCTAAAATAATCAAAATGATTGGTTCTTAAAGAATAATGTTGTACTAACTTCTCTTTTAATCGGATCACCTTCACAATGAATAACTGTGTCTGGAGCAACAATACAGAATGGCCCAGGATCTGTTTCTACAACTTTAAATTCTACAGCTCGCATACCACCACGTACAATAAAATTGTCATCTCTATGAATAGGACGATATGCTTCCAGAAAGTATGGCTTTAAATAAATTTCAAACAAATTCCTACAATAAAAAAGAAATTACTGTGTATAAAATAAATTCATTTAAGAAAATTCAATATCATTCAATTCAACAAAAAGGACTAATATAACAAAAGCTTTATAACTGTATTTTATTTTTATACAACTAAATAATAATAATAATTATAGCATTATATCTGTAAAATTCTTTTCACTCTGTTATGAAAAGATATTTTAAAAAATGAACTTACAAATTTAGAAGATATGAAAAAACAAACCATAAATCAACATAAACCTACAAAATATTCCAGTAATGTAAAAACTTATAATCTTATTATATTAAAAGTTTTTAATTTACCCTGTAAGACCAGTTATGGTATCATCTAATGGTAGTACATGAATGCGCTTTCCATATTTAACTTCTGGACATGCATGTACAGAAACAATATCACTTAAGCGAACTCGTAAGTTGTTTCTAATGACACGATTCATACGAATTTTTTCATCTGGACAAGTGTCATCAGAAAGTACAATGCATACTGTTTCTTTACGTCGTTTGCCTTTTAGTAACACTGTATCTCCTCTAAACAATTGCAATTCATCCATCTTTGCTTGAGACAAAGCCACAACAGAATTATCATCTGCCATAGCTTCATCAACTAATAATCTATTTGGCTTATCCTTCTTTCGAAGGATTGCTGTTGCTAAATCCTCACCGCTGTAACAATTAAATATTAAATCATTCTAAATAAAATAACAATGACCATACAGAAACATCAATTAGGAAATAGAGATCAAGAAAACATTTCTTATATCATTTGTAGA